TCTTTCTTTCTTTCTTTCTCTTTATGCGTTTCTTTTTGTCCCCTCCTGTCTCTCTGTCTCTCTAAGGAACTGGAGTGCGGGACACATATGGCTGTGTATGATGAGAATATCCTGAAGAACCCTTTTTACCAGGCCCTAGAAAAACACAGACCGGATCTGTGCAGCAGGGTGGCAGAACTCCATGGCATTGTGAGTCTCTCACTTCCACATTTCTCATGATGGTATATTTATGTGTTATGTGTTTCAGTTTAACTGTTTTAACTCCTACTCCGATTTCAAACTGAGCAGGAGTGAATGTTGTTTGTTTGTTGACGACTGAAACGATCAACAGATTTATTTGTGGAACATAATTAGTCATGTATTCATTCATGTGACTGTGGTCTGTTCACATGTGGTCAGAAAGAGATTCTGTGTGTATGAACCGATTGTTTTATGTTAGGAGATGTTAGAGGTTCTGTTAACCAAGTATTGATAACAATATTATCCTTGTGGTTTATTCTCAAACCCTCGGATTTAACTAAAATTTTCTCTCCATCAATACAAAGAAAGAAACAAACAAACAAACAAAGAAAAAAATTGTTGTGTTGGTCTGAACAGATGCATGAATATCTGTTCTTTTGAAATTATTATAACGTTTTTATTGCACCACATTTTTGTTCTGAATATTCATCTTGGCATTAATACTTATGGATAGGGGTCTGTTCAAATCACGATTCGAAAGTGTGAACGATCATAAAAAGTCAAAGTCATGCTTGTTTTGACAAACACCATTTAATATTTGAAAAAAGAGATTATAATGGGAAAAATAAAACAGCTATTTAAAGTTCAAAATACAATCAGGAGAGAAAACGTAAGCTGGGCAAAAATGGTTAGTAATGCTAATCCACTTTAGTTCAACCCCCACATCCTTTGACATGTCTAAAATTCATTTTTCGCCATATTTTCAGGTCTTTCTTTCTTTCTTTCTCTTTATGCGTTTCTTTTTGTCCCCTCCTGTCTCTCTGTCTCTCTAAGGAACTGGAGTGCGGGACACATATGGCTGTGTATGATGAGAATATCCTGAAGAATCCTTTTTACCAGGCCCTGGAAAAACACAGACCGGATCTGTGCAGCAGGGTGGCAGAACTACATGGCATTGTGAGTCTCTCACTTCCACATTTCTCATGTTGGTGTTTTTAAGTTTTATATATTTGAATGGCAATACTGTTTAAACTCATTTACAGCTTTCAGACAGAGCAAAAGTGAATGTTGTTTGTTTGTTGGCGACTGAAACGATCAACAGATTTATTTGTGGAACATAATTAGTCATGTATTCATTCATGTGACTGTGGTCTGTTCACATGTGGTCAGAAAGAGATTCTGTGTGTATGAACCGATTGTTTTATGTTAGGAGATGTTAGAGGTTCTGTTAACCAAGTATTGATAACAATATTATCCTTGTGGTTTATTCTCAAACCCTCGGATTTAACTAAAATTTAAATCAATGCTTAAACTTGACCTAAAATATCACCATATAACATGTTCTGTTGTTCTGGATATCAGCACAGTTGTTTGTGTGATATTGTTTTTATGCATCAATTCAATAATCAACCAGTTAATTTTTTAGCAAATTACATTTATACATTTTACAAGACTTTTAAGTCACTTATTTTGTTTTGCTCCACGGATTGCTGCAGTGATGGCATATTTTTGAGGGCAACACCCTGGTTACCTCGACAAAAAGCCAATAGGATTTTCCTTTGATTTTTGAGGCAAAAATGCTCTGTGCTCAGAAGTATATGATTCTTACACTTTTTTTCATCAAGATAATATTATTACAAATAAACTCAACTTTTATTAGTTTTGAAGTCTAAATACAATTGCCAGAAGTTAAAAACTCAAGTTAAACTATAAACAAACTTCTGTGTCACCACACTAAGCTTCCGAAAACTCTTTCAATCTTTATTCAAAATCTACTAGTTAGAAAGTTAGTTAGAATACAGACATGAGTATAAACACAATAAGGCTGTAAAAGCACACTAGTGAGTAGATGAGTTTTCCTGTTTGCCATGATAAAATTTAATGTCCCCAACAATCTCAACTGTTTTTTTTTCCCCTCAAGAAATGTAAAAGCTCACAAGTGAGGTATAAGTTGTGTATTTTATGTTTTAGAACAAAACATTATATTGAGCTTGTGTTCAGTTGAGCTTCTTTAATTCCAGGCTCTTAACCAAAAAAACCATTAACTTCGGGTTAATGGAACCATAAATGCAAAGATGCTCATTTCCAGGTTTTAGAATTCAATCCTTCAGCACTCTATAAAAATAGACCCGAACAAAGCCAAAGCAGGATCAACTATTGTTTGCCCACACAACACACAGTAGTAGTTTTAATTGTGAATCGGTTGAGTGAATAATTCAGTGAATCACTTGTGAACCACATAGCCACTTGTCACCACCTACTTGTGTAGCAATTTAACCTGCAGAAAGGTTCACCAAAAAAATCCCACACACTGACAAGTCGAGTGAAACGGTGAAAAGTCACAGTGATGTTGGATTGAATATCAGCACTTTTTGGAACACCGCTCAACCAATTAAATCCAATGACCAAAACTAACTGCTATATACAGGCCGTTTTACACTGAGTGCAAAAACGCGAGGCGAATCGCCGACGAACGGTTCTTTTACACCAAGCCCAAACGATTTATTGACTTCTGCTAATTCACTCCTGCGCGCTAGGTGGCGCCAACCAGCAATGCGTTTTTTCCTCATGTAGCCTGTCTCGTATATGGCTTGTACATCGCTTACTGCTCAATATTCAAGTTTATTTGTATAGCGCTTTTCATGATACAAATCGTTGCAAAGCAACTTTACAGCAAATTAAGTTTCTACAATATTTAGTAGTAGCTTATCAGTGGTGACTCTGCAGCATTCAATTAAGATAAATAATAAATAGTATGCAATTATTAATGCTTTTGCTCAAACCCCACTTTAAATCATCATCGAGTGCTTGTAATAACTTCTGATTGTGATCTAAAATGGATTTTGATTCTATAATAGGCATGTGCACTTGTTGTATGTTTTATAATGGACTGAACGCTACCTGTCATTTGTCATAACCATCCTTTGTTGTTATAAATACCATGAGCTGCATAAAAACATATACAGAACATATATAGTCATAATTTGCTTTCATATTTTATGTGTTGAGAAATGTTTCCCAATTTTTATTTTTATTTTAATGTATGGAAAGGCAAGAGTTATGATTACTTGATTGACAGGTCTAGAGTGAACATGCTCTGACTCATAACACTCGCGCTCGTGGAATAAAACAGACGGTGCTCTTCAGATCACAATTCAGTGGAGAATTAATAGTAAATGTTATTCTGTATAAAGAACATGTGAGAATAAATCTGTTCTCAAATACCAACGATAACAAGAACTCAGCATCCACTGTCTCAGAATACTCTTCTTCTGTGTTTGTTTACACTAGTTTTGGAAACGGCGCCACCACTCTCGCCTTTTTGTGCATCAGCAGCTACTCCGGGAACGTGATCTTAACTCAAATCTGATTGGACGGCCGTTTCATCGCAGAGCGATGAGGGAAAAAATCAATACACAGGACCAAAAAAAAAGCACTTTTTCGTGCCATGAGTGATCGTGCCTGGTGTGAATAGCCCCATTAGGGATCTATTGTTTCGATTCAAAACCGTTTTTCCGATTTTCACGTTCAGTGTGAAAAGGCCTTAATACTGTGCGTAATTGAAGTTTCAGCATTGCTTAACACCCATAAACTGCTTCCATTTAGACTAAAGAACAAAATTACTTGAATTGAATAGACTTTAGTCTAGTTCATTTTACATGAATGAAAATGAGGCTGGGGAGTAGACTTTAGTCTTTTCCAGTTGCATTCACTGTATAAAGGTCCTAGATCACATGGAGTTTTTGTCTACTGAAAGTATTCTGGAACAATGTTATGTCAGCTGAACAATTGGAATATTGTTAAACAACAGTACAATCCATTGAACCCACTGTACTCAGCCTTGTTTTCATTCCTGACAAAAATGAAACATGGCACTACCCTGACTAAGGTCTATCAATATTAACAAATATTACTGTTTATTGAACATTGGAGTCTCATTTTGGTTGCCATTATATCAAAGAGTGATAAAACACTATTACATTTTGATATCATTTACTCACCTACATCCATATTAGTCGTTCTAAATCCATATGGCTTTGTCTTCTGTGAACTCTAAAGAAACATTTAGTAACAATATATCAAAAAGAGGATGAAACACACCAGAAAAGTTCACATGACCAGGGAGCTGTATTTCAAAGCTCCTCGAGGAAGGAAGAGTGCAGTTACACCTTCGCATGGTGAAATGCAAAGACCTTCTTAGCACGCAAAATTCAGAAAAGTTGCGTTAAAGGGATATTCCACCAAAAAAACGAAGATTCTGTCATTAATTACTCACCCTCATGTCGTTCTAAACCCATAAGACCTTCGTTTATCTTCGGAACATGAATTAGAGGTCTGCACAGAGGTCGCGGGAGAGCCGCGGGAACCGAACAGATTTTTTGCGCCGCGGGATTAAATTCCCGAATAAAACGCGGTAGCGGTCGGTAACTCTGGTGTAATTTGAACGGGAGCGGGCGGTCTAACAATATCCCGTTCCCGACGTCCCTTCAGAACAGCATATCTGCGCTTTATTCTTATTGACCACCGGTACAGCCTGCACTCGGACTGTTATGCACGCGCTGCACGCATGCTTTAAACGTCACGCGTTTTATTTGCGTGGTCTGTGAGCAGCATGTGCATAACGATGCTCAGAGCAGGCTGTACCGGTAGTAAATATATGGCCCTCAGACAGAACAGGCAGGTTGTCGATGAGTGACAGAGCAGAATAAGGATGGAGCAAAGTGTGGATGCGCTTGTCCTTGAAGGACGTTCAACTGGGTTTTGTTTATATTTTGCTTAGCCTATA